TTGACAAGAAGTCCCACCAAATGAAGCAATTCCCTTGGAAACACGCTTAGAAGTGAAAAAGGAAAAAAAAAAAAAAAAGCTAAAAAACCCACACAGTCTGTTCAAAAATACTGTGAAATTAATTCTTCCTCCCTTCTTCCTCCCACACTACACGTCCTGAAAGTAGCAGGTGTCCTGTATGCCAAAAAAAAGAAAAAATAAAAACAGAAAAAATGTCCAAGAAACAAAACAGAGAGAGAAGAAAGAAGATTCTCAAGTCACAGCTCATCAAAATGATTTGGATGACAACTACTAGCTTGGGAGGCTCTGTGTAAACAGTAGTCTTGAAAGGCTCTTTATGTGTGGATTTATCAGGTCTTTTAACTAAGACAGACACCGAAAGAAGGGACGTTTTTGCTTAAATTAAAACTTCTGCTTTAATTTCCACAGACAGGATGGCAGAAGATGACCAAATGTGGTAAAAACACAGGGTATTGTACTAAAATACACTGCACAGGAAACAAACAAAAATACCGTGAAGGTACACTGCTTAGCAGGATTTGTGATATGCTAGACAAATCATACTGGTACACTTGTTCTAAATGCAGTCTTACTACATATGGGCATATGAAATATGCAGAATAGGAGGTTAAGGGCCTGTAGTATATGTAAAAAATATTTACAGTGACTCATCTTAACCATCTCTTCAAAGAAAAAACTAGAGAAAATACGCCATATGCTTTAATGCCATCAAGTCTTAGTAATCAGAAAGCTACAGCTCCACAAGCGCAACAGTGAAATTGTAATGCATTCACCATTTGCCAAAGAAAAACGTGAACAAAAAGTACCCGTGGAACTACTCACAAATTATCACAATTCGCAATCTAGGTTGCTCATGGGAGATTTTAACAATATAGATTTGTACTGAATAATGAAAACATTCATATGGAAGCAGCTCCCTGTTGCCTGACAGGGAATTTTGTGATCCAGCAAGTAAAAGACTTCAATCTCAGGGGAAATTCTTTTGGAATTATTACTTGTATTTATGGAAACTCTAAGACTAAGGAAAACTGTAATGGAGGTGATCATCACTAATAGCTTGAACTCAGCAGAGAAGCAAGAAATAGGATCAGAGAGTGCAAGAACAGTAGGCTTTTCTTCTCCATCTAGGAAATGCTGAGGACTTAAGAACTCTGGAAAGTAATATGCAAACAATATAGGTAATTTTTACTTTCATGGGATGGGAAAAGGGTCTCTCTCTATCCTGTGTTGACTAAATATCTGCAGACAAATTTGTAAATACCAGAGGCTCACTGAAGAATCTCTAAAAGATTGATAAGCTTATTCTAGAATAATTGAACATTTCCAGAAGCCACCAGTGCTCTTGTACTCCACATTACTCTGCCTCATCTCATACTTTCCAGCAATGAGAAGCAACTGATTTTAGTATCATGTAATCCCTGAGTGGGTACAGCAAACAGTATCTAACAAGAAAGATGACAGAATTTAAATCTATCCTGTAAAACAAAAAAGTGGATAGGCCAGTGCTTCAAAATGAGAAAGATACACAAATAAAACATAAGCAAGTCCAAAAGGAACAGGAGCATGGTTGGAGCATGAGTTATACCAGCTGGCCAGGAGATCCCGTCTCCTTTCCTATCTTCTGAGAACTTCATGGCTGAACCCTCAGAAAGGAACCCCAAATTTCATCCACTTTGGAAAGAGATACAGATGATAGTCATAGTGGTTCAAATATGGTATAGTCTTCCAAGTTTATGAGGCATTTTAGTTTTAGGGCTGTCTACTCTTTATAGCCAACAAAAGGAGCTGAGGGGTAAGAAATTGCTCAGTACTCAGTTCCAGACAAGTCTACAAGCCTTTCTCACTTCAGCTGTGTTAGTTATTCAGACAGACTCTTGGGATGAGTCATAAGGATGGTAGGTGAGTATTTCACCAAACTTGGAGAATCTGAGTATAATATAACAATTTTCACAAATCTGTAAAGTGTTAAACATGACATAAAAGTGAAAGGAAATATTTAGGAGACTAGCTAAAAGAAATGGGGGGAAGTCGAAGAAACAAAAGAGACACAAAATTTATTATGAACATTAGGAAATACTCCCCGACATCCAACTACTTTAAGCTGATGAGTAACATGACAAGTCAATATTACAAAGCAACATTATTTGGGATACATCAATCTACATGTAATACTAGAAAATGCTTGCTAGAGAAAAGATTTTCAATGACAGAAAAAAAAAAAGACTGTATAATATAATTTGTGTTTTTTCTATCTACAGCATTTCACCTTGAGCAGTGTGAGGTAATTCTGAAACAGCAATCATTTACATAATTAGTGTAACAGTATTTAATTATATGAATAAAGATGTGTAATACTCTAATGGTATAATTAGAATGGGTTATAACTACATGTAATTACATAATTAGGTGTAATGGCATAAAACCTCTCAAAAAATGGATATATACAACCCTGGCTATAGGAGCTGGTATAATGAATAATAATACATTGAATAAGAAGGACAGTTAACATTTTCATGTCACCTGTGTTAAGGATAGCTCAAAAGCAGTGAATGATAAAAGTTTGTGAATAGTACTAAAGTAGAGGAAGAATGTGGTACAGCTCCAACTGTAATGATCTACAGTGAGTACAACCTTTATTTTCATCCTTATTTATCTGTTATTTAGTTATAACTCTTCATAGAGTTACCAGAATAGTATGAGTATGGAGGGGTATAATTGAAGTATTCAAATACCTGCATTTTGCAAAATTTTATAATTACTCATATAAGTACTATATTACTTCTATATTACTTCTTTTAATTCTGTATAACACAGCTGATTTTACATTTTTTTCCATGTCCTTCAGATACCTGGTAGCTTGTAATTTCATATGCCTATTCATTAACCAGAGAAAGCAAGGAACACAATCCTTTTACTATTGCACTGTTGTATTGTCATGCCTGATGTGTGTGTAGTATTACACACACACCCCAGAGATAACAAATTAACTGTTACTAGCACATTTAATAACCACTGTTCTTGTTACCTGCAGCAATATCTGTACCAAAGCACTCTGACTGCTGTTTAAAATACTATACTTATTATAATTTTAAAAATTTGTTGACACCCAAGAATATTATCCTTTCAAATATCTTAAGTGTTTTGCTCTATAGAGTAGATGATGGAGTCTTATGTGACACTTGTGAACACTTATCTATGGAAGCACTTCTAGTAAAAATAGGTAGGATCACTTAATAGGATAATTCACTTCCGAATATAAAGCCTCCCACTGAGAGTCCTAAAAGACAGGCTGTAGGCACCTATCTTGCAATTCAATAATGTTTTACTGACACTAGAAGAATTCTTTAGCTAGTTCAATATACTTGAAACTTATACTTTGTATAGCTCTGACTATCCATTTTTAGTAAAAGAGCAAATTGGTCTCGTATGATGTATAACCTGAGCAATTTTAATAATGATTTTTCTGTAATTCTGTATCATCCAAAAATCAGAAGGAATGAATCTTAAAGAGATGGATGTGATTCCTGGCAAAATTCCAAATTACATTTCAATTGCCTTTAAAATAAATGAAGTGCATAAAAAAAATCTATCAACAACTTTTACATAAAACTTTAATAGATGTGCATCATTTTCTTTTCCCTGCTTCCCCATGCATCTACAATGTGAACATAGAAAAATAAATTATATCCTTCACCTTTGTTACAATTTGCTAACCACTACATAATTCATTTAGTATTCAACTTGCAACACAATCTAGATTTTCCTGCTATACTTATTAGATCTTTTCGAACCTGCTCTTATTTGAAATCATCCTCTTTGAATGTGGATGGCTACAAAATTTCTGGTATTTTTAATGTGGTATCTGGTATAATAGCACAAATATCTTCCCTTTTCTCCATGAGGTACGAGGGCTGACATATCTTGCCACTACATTTGCCTTTTCCACAACTGCATCATATAAGCAATCAACAATTACTCTTGGATAAACTAAAACACATAGGCTTTCTTCTCCATATTCTTTCGAATTCAGGAAACACTTTCTTCAGTCATTAACTTTTAAGTTCTGATACCTTGCACTTTGTTCCATAGCAGTTTATTCTATTATTCTGGTTCCGGTCTTTCACATGTACTCCTCTGTATTTACAATGCATTCTAATTATGGGAATCAAATCTTTACAATCCATTCATAATCCAAGTTATTAGCAAAACCATGCAAGATTTCTCCTGGGAGTCCACCTTCCATATGGCCATTTTTATCCTCCCATTAGGCCAGTTCCTTACATGCTCGACAGCATGTAACAACACGATAAAATGTTTCCTCAACTTGATATCAAACAATGTTGAGTAAGAATCATCATCAAACCAAAAGAACTTGTTTTACTTCCATGTATAGGGTAGGTACCCAATGGTATTACCACACAGAATGCATTGTGAACAAGAAAGGTTTACGTGAAGTCAAAGTTTACGTGAAGACAAATGGACTGCAATAGTCTTTTTTGAGGTACTAAGTAAATAAATGAAAGCAAACCAAAACATGTAAGGCTCAGGAACTCCCCTGAGCAGAAAATAGCAGGAGACTGGAAAAAGCTCAGCAGTGTCATATATCCTTGGTCTGTTCTTGCTGGCATCTGCTATCACTACTGTTAAAGACAGGATACCCAGCTCGGAAACTGGGAAAACCCTTAAACTGAGTCAGGTTTTTATGTGTTTTTTTTTTTTAACACTATTTGCTCCTTTTCGTCTGTACTCTAGCTTACATACTAAATGTTCCCATGATCATATTAGAAAACTATAACAATTTAACACCTGATAAATTCAGTATCTTAAATTTTTTTCATCTTGAAAAGAAAGTCATGGCTATCTTAAGCATCATCTACTGCAGAATACAAAGATATTTCTACACATTATGTGATTGTTTCTATAGAAGAAAACATAAACATTAAAAAAGAGCTGTACAATCATTGTGATACTCACTGTGTTGGCAGTTTCTTCCCATAAATTCACCCGGACATTCACAGGAATAGTTGGCAACAAGGTCTGTACAAATTCCACCATTCTTGCAGGGTTCAGCTTCACATTCATTTACATCTGCAGGAAGTACAGAACATCAGGATTAGCAAAGAGGCATTCTAAAAGTAATAAGGACATGTCTTTAAAGCACTATAACACAAAGTATTTATATGCCTGATATTAAAAGAAATGTGTTAGTCCATCAATTTCAAATATTTTCAATAATGAATGTGATTAACCAGAATATGTTTGAGGAAAAAAGAAATGTAGCTAGTTTCAAATACATACTAAATTTTTGCAACAACAGAACTGAAAGTTTTGCTTAGAGACTTGCTATGCAACTCCTAAAGGGTATCACAGTCACAAATTGGATCTTAACCAATTAGTCCTAATAGAGTACTATTTAGTGACACTTGCAACTTTCAGAAATGTAGATACTTCTCCTTTAGCAACAGATGCCACTTAAAAGTGCCTCTCATTTCATCTTAACTCATTAAATATCTAATTGACAAGGTTGCTTAACTGTCTAAAAATTTTCCTTTCTGTGCATGAGTTAATAGACAAATTAAAACTAATAGCTTGATCTAAGAGCTTGCAAATGTTATTAAATTCCAAAGACAGAAAAGGTGGTTAATTTTATTTGACTTTCAGCACCTGCTTGTCAAATGCAGCATGGTAATCTTAATGTATACTATCAGGCTATTTTTCTCAAATGCAATATAGTATTTTTCAGTCAGCATAAATAGACATGTGAAAGATAACGATATCTCATAATTAGAATTCTCAATATGTGCATTTATGTTTAGTCTATACAGACTATGTATGGATATATATGCTATTGTGTCTAAGAATTGCATCAATGTATAAAATTAAATATTTAAAATGGTAGCCTGCACTAGCTTCACTAAGAATTGAAGTCCTGTTGCATTAGACACTGTAAATAGCAAATAGGAAAGCAATTTTTAACTTGCATTATAATTTATTTGACTCAGTTTTGCTTAGGTGTATATTAATCGTGGATGCAGTTGTTGATAAAGCATGCACATGCATAGTACAGAAATAAGTTTAAGGAGGAGGACACTTAACACCAGAGCTAAACTAGTTGCATTCTTTGTTAGTCCAACCATACTGCAAATTGAACAATATGTATTACTGCCATGTTGAATCTGCTTCTAGTCCAAAATGCAGAAATGGTTTGGGCTGGAATACATGAATAGCACAAGCTAAAGAAAGTGCTACATAAATGACTAAACCTGAAGTAACAAGACATGTAGAGAAGAGGCAGAATGCAGGGATAACAATGAAGTAGCTTGATTTCTGGTAGATAAGCATGCAACTTTTGTACTTTTTTAATTATTATTCCTTTCACTTACTAGGAATATACAAACAAAAAAGTAATGTTTTAATACACAAGCTTTGCCTAGATCTTACCGGTTTTCTGATGTCTACAGAAAAGCCTGTATCTTTAGTCTGTTTTATACATCTAAAAATTTGTGCAGCTTTTAACTTAGAGCTTTACACTACAAAGTTTATACAAGTGAATTGTGCATCTTTTTCTGTTGAATGAAGCTGGACTGTTATATGCACCATCATTAATTTTTTACTACACAACACACATAGCTAGCAATGCACAATTTCTGGCTTTTACAGTTACTTCATTTAATAATATGTTAATATCTGTTCCACATACTCACAGTGTTCTACAAAATTAGTTTTTACTAGAATTAACTTTTACTACTCCAAAGATACAGCCTTTTTTAAGGGTCATTTTTATGCCAAAACTAAACTTTCTGCCTTTGTGGTTTCCTGTATAAGAAATTCAAGACAAAAGTAACTTTATGATGGAAAAGAAACTATTGTAAGATTTTAAAATCCTAATTATACTCCTATACACAATAAATGTCTTTCATATGTACAAAATAGCACTGATGCCTATGATGTCCTGGAGGATGCATTTTACCCCATCAAGAAATGAACTGTCTTAAGTATAAACAAAAGCACAAAAATAGAAAGGGTATCAGGAAAACTGCATGAACCATGATCATTTCAGAAACTAAACACTTTCACAAACTAAAGGACAGCTACATTTTAGAGTACACAAATCATTTACAAGCCACTATTTGAACCCGGATGCACTGGATATATGTGGCTCTAGTAAAATTATGTTGGGGAGACAACATAAGTTGTGATTGAAGTGATATATTTAAAACACTGCATGTGGGTTATTGCATTTCATGAAGTGACAAGTTTATAAGATTCTGTTTAGAATACAGGTATCACACAATAAACCCAAACATCCAGACAATCTTTCTTTCAGTAGAGGAAGCATTAGGTTTTGGATATAAAAGAAAAGTCTAAGAGGAAGTCAAAGTATTGATGTAACAGGACATCCCTTATGAATTTCTCATTAGTAAGAGTTGGGTGTAACTTCTTGCAAACTTTTCAGTGGGCAGGTGTCTTAGGTTTACATGGACTTTCATAGAAGACCGAAATCTTGGCTAAAATGCATTTCCAGGTTCCACCTCAAACTAAGTTTTTTTTTTTTTTTTAAATGAAAGCTTTCTAAAGTAAAGTTCTTTTCTAACTTTGTAGTCAAATGATAAGCCTAAGCATTCAGCCTTTTTGGTGTACACTTATATAGAGTGTTCTGCTCATGGCAGGCTTGGTCTTTGTAATTATTGTTTCCTGCCATCCCCTACCATGTTCCCTTCCCATTCTTCCATCAGAATCTAGTTGAAGAGTGACCAAACATACAATTACACTAAAATGACATACATAAATGAGCAGTTTTGAAGCTTGTTGCTTCAACAAACAGTCTGAAGATGATAACTCCTTCGCCATTACAATAATTTGCGTAATTATCCCATCATACTGCTTTAAGATATGAATAAATCCTAATGGAATTTAACTATAAGGGTCATTTGCATTTACACTTTCACTGCATTTGGGGGGGGGTGGGGAAGAGGGTGATCATGTCATCAACTCATAACAAAAGATAACAGTGTCTTTTGCCTAAACATTTATAGAGCTAGAACATACTATTTTTTATGTTATTTCATCAGTTGAATTTGTACAACTACATTTATATCTACTGTAAAAGTTACATTGGGTTCCCAAGCATTTTGTGTATTCATCGGACAATATTTCTGTATACAATTTTCTGGAGCATCAATTTTGCAAACAAGCAGCACTAACAAGCCAGTGACATGTATAGCTAGAAGCTAAATTTTTAGAGGAATCATTATATATTTTTCTCTTGCTATATTTTGTGAAATTAGCTTCTCAATAAATAGGGATATGCTTCTGATGTTTTTTGACTGTGCTACTGAAACAACTGGAAGGTAAGCAGGGCTTTGAATTCCACTTATACTCAGCCAATTTTCTAGAACAGAAATTCTAGAAAAAGAGCTCTAAATTCTTTATATTCATTTATAAAATTTAACACAATACTTCATCTCCTTATTTGTCTTTAAGCAAAGTCCATTAACCTTACATTTTCATCAGATTATTCATCATTTTAATACAAGCTAACACATTTGTGGAAAAAAAATCAAGGTCACTGTGAAAGGTCACTTTCATGCGGTGAAAAAAGGGGAGTAATTTATCCTCTTAAAAGCTTTACTGTATAAAGATGTCTTTTCAAGATATTTGAATTTCTTTGGGTCACTATTCATAGCGAAATATGTAGGATAAAATGTATGACTTTCCAGTATATTTCTAATTGTCTGTGAGAATTAAGTGAAAATAGTAACAGATATTTTTTATACCAATCCCTATATTTTACCCTTACGGAACAATTAGATATGATTAATGCAGAAAGAAGAAAGTTATTCTTTTAATTAAGTCTTATAAGACCATACAAACCATACGATTTTGCCTGCAGAACTTTATAATGGCTTGTTACTGTTCAAACATAAGCTTTCATATATGAGCTTTTCATTACTACTTTCCTAATAAATATCATGGAAGTTGGATTATATACTTTTTTGTTACTTTACATTTGTGCCCATTTGTATAAGCCTCAGATTTTTGTCAGATATTAAATGGTTCAGCTGCATTGAAATCAATAAAATCCTGTTGATTTTACCTGTCAAAGAATATGAATCGAGATTTATTAAAGTAGCATTTAATATGTCTATCTTAATATTTAATAATTCTATCTCAACAGAGAACTACTCAGTTAAATGATATGTGACAGATTAAAGCACTCAAAGGACATGCCTTCTTTAGAGGCAGGAGACTTTCAATAAAGTGAGGATTTTATAGAAAGTTTTTCTTCTCTTGTATTTGACATGATGGATGTAGCAAATGTTATCCAGGAGATCTCTGCAAATGTTATCCTCACAGATCTCTTTATTAAGACTTTTCCTGAATCTTTCAGAATAATATTAAATACTTGCACTATATGCAAGGAAAGATGAGAGTAAAATGGTAAATTACTGAAATTGTTATGAACCCAAAAGAGACATCTTAAGCAAGCCAAGGAATTAAAAACAAGCTCTAGATATACATCAAAAATTTTGGGCTGACCACGTGTGACTCAGACACTTTCATAATAGTAATAAACATAAAAGTCTAAACACAAAAGATTTTGAAAAGAGTTCAGTTGCTCCTATCCAGAGTTCTAATCTAGATCTAATCAGAAATTCTCTTATGCATTTTTCCTAACATAAGGAAGCATAAAGTCAAGTGCTGTTTTCCCTCTTGATGGTCTCCAAAAAAAAAAAAAAAAGGTTCACCTTTTTCATGAAAATTGGCACATATCATTATGATTCTGACTTCATTATAAGGAGAAAACAAAGAGTGGAGTTATTCTGAGAAAGAAAGAAAAATGAGAAAAGAAAAATGAAACCTTGTTCTGCGAAACTGAAAGAATACCTGAAGTTTTTGAAGTTTTTTGTTTATATGATGCACTTAAATTTGACATGACCTGTAAAACACTTAATTTTGACTAAAGAGTGTTTTTTATAATGACTGGATTTCCCCCCCACAGATTCACATATCTATTCTACCCATGTTCACAATAATGCTTTTCCAGAACCAACGATCCAGTGGTAGCAGCTACTTGTAAGGTTGTA